GCCTTTCATCAACTTGGTTAGCCTCAGAAGCTCCTCGCGGATCTCTTTAATCTCCGGATGCAACTGATCAGCAACCAGAAAAACATGAAACCTAGTCTTCACCTCAATCCAACTACACCCCGGTTCCTTGCTCACGCCGCGCTGACTCATCAAACGCCTTACCCTTTCCACATCCTCTCCCCTCCCAAGAGCTGAATAAATGCTCGACAACAGAACGTACGCGGACGACTCCAATGACCCCACCTCCATTAACTTCTCCCCGGCGTACGCTCCCAGCTCATAGTTTCTATAGTTCCGGCATGCACTTAACAGTATACGCCACAAGCATTGACCATGGTCAAACGTGCAAGACAATATGAACTCTTTGGCTTCGTTTAGTTTCCCGGCACGACCTAGGATGTCAACCATACAAGCGTGGTGCTCCAACTCGGGCTCTAGACCGAATTCATCAGACATCATCTTGAAGTATTCCCACCCCTTCTCTACCAACCCCATGTGGCTACAAGCAGAGAGAACGTTGACGAAAGTGACGTGATCCGGCTTTCTGCCGGCCGTTTTTCGCATCTCCTCAAAAAGTTCGAGCGCTTCTATCCCGTGCCCGTTTTGGGAAAGGCCGGATATCATGGAGTTCCAGGAAGCGACGTCTCGGTCCGGCATCATCTTGAAGACTAGGGTACCGTCGTTGAGGGTCCCACACTTCGTATACATAGTTGCGAGGGCACTTCCGACAGGAACAGTGAGAGTCAGACCATGTTTGACAGCGTGGGCGTGTAGCTGTTTTCCCTGCTCTAAAGAGGCAATGGACGAACAGGCTCTTAGAACGCTCGACATGGTCAGGTCGTTTGGTAATATGTCCTTTTTTCTCATCTGGCAATACATATTGATAGCGCTCTCGCTGTCCCCGTTTTGGACATACCCAGCAATCATTGAAGTCCACAGAACAATGTCTGTCTCTCCTAGACAATCAAACATGCGTTTAGCATCGCCAATCATTCCACACTTGGAGTACATGTCAACTAATGCTGTTATAATGTACATTTGAGACTCAAACCCTAACTTCCAAAGGAATCCATGGATCTGTCTTCCTTCAATGGATGCCTTGATGTCACTGCAAGCATTGAGGACTCCCACAAGAGTGTACTCACTAGGGATCACCCCACAAAAATGCATTTCCGAAAACAACTTTAAAGCTCTCTCGCTACTTCCGTTCTGTGCATAACCAGTGACCATTGCAGACCATGTGATCGGTTCTTTGATATTTGAGGACTCGAATGCTTGACATGCATCATCCAAGCTTCCACACTTTGCATACATAGTGACCAAAGCATTTGCAACTGAAACAATAGATAACAATCCACTTTTAATTGAAAAACAATGGATTTGCTTGCCAACATTCACGAATTCAGGCAATACGAGAGCGCTAAGGACACTAGTGAACGCAAACTCATTGGCTTCACTCTCGGATTCCAACATCATTTTAAAAATACACAAAGCTTCATCAGCACGCCTTAGTGAAGCGTACCCAGATATCATTGTGGCCCAAGACACCGCATTTTTGTCAGGCATTTCATCAAACACCCTATGGGCATCGCTAATATGCCCAATCTTACAGTACATATTCATCAACGAGCTCCCCACAAACACATCATCGAAAACACACAGCTTCATGGCCAAACAATGAGCTTGCTGCCCAACAAATGTGTCGCCCAAATATGAAGCAGAAGAGAAAATGCCAGAAAAAGTATGGGAGTTCGGAACCACGTTTTGGTCCCTCATTTTCTTGAAGAGGTTGAGCACAGAAAAGAATGAGTCTTGGCGACCCAGTCGTGAGTAGCCACTGATGAGGCAGTTCCATGAGACAGTGTCTTTGTTACAGATGTCGTCAAATGCTCGATGGGCTTCTCGCAATAGGATGCACTTGGCATAGAAGTTAACAATGCTGTTGGAGAGATAAACGCAAGAAGAGGAACCGGTTTTGATGAGATGGCCATGGAGACATTTGCCTTTGGGAAGATTCCTCTCGTGGGTGTAATTAAGGATGGTTTTGAATAGGTGTTGATGTCTTGGTGTTAAGAACGCGGTGACATGATTCATAAGGAAAACTGAGGAGAGGGGAAGGAGAATTTAGGAATTTGCCAGCTTACTTGGTTTCCGGTGATGAGTGGTCGGCAAAATCCCATAGGTTTTGACCTGATGATGCCATCAAGATCCCAACTTAATGCATTGCACAAAATATTTCAAAAGAAAAAACTAAATAGATCATTGAATAGTAATAATACAAGCCATAAAACTCAATTGTCAAATACAAGTGTAACAAGCCAACAACAAACCTAGTAAAATCATCCTAAAAGTAGATAGGTTGTTTCCAAGAGACCCCGGTTCAAACACGGTAGCACGAACAAAGTAACAGCACAAACACAAGAAGCACACATGCCAACACTAGCAACTAGACCCAAAGCACAGAAAGTGCACAAGCACAAGCCACACACTTCGGGCTATGGCGAAGACACACCAGCATAAACTACAAACTAATGCCCAAAGATCTACTCAATTAACCTAATCTTATATCTCCAGCCTCCAGATGTTCATTCCTATCAAAGACCATGCCGGTAAGATTCTGAAGTCGTAAATTCTACCTAATCATCGCCTTCCATAGTTATATCTCGTCTTAGATGTACCTCGATCAAATGAACTCAAATATCATTGAGTAGTAACTCCATTACCTGCGATATCTCTAACTTTATTTTCTTTATTTAAAATTTTCCTAGAAACACCATTACCTTCGTAGACTTCTTCATATTCTTCCTATTCATCATCATCAACAAGTTCATATCGAGAAGCTCCAAGGAGGCGTACTATGTGTCCTTACGTATCTCTATTTGAAACAAACACACAATAGCTACTATCTAATATTGGCTCCTGCGTCCCAATGTACTCCTTATTTCATTAACTAGAACTAGACATATCATCATTCATCTCAAACAGTATGCTCCCTCTGGTTTTGTGTATCCTATTTTGCAATAGGCTGGACATTTCTTCTTCTTCTTCTTCTTCTTCTTTTTGTTTTTGAGGAAAGGCTGGACTCATGTTAGTTACAAACTTACGGCTCAAATTTTCTAGTACTTATACTGATATAAGTTTGTTCTCCATTAAATACATACATGCAAGTAAAAGATTCAATTTGAACTCCTCTGCTCCATTTTCCCAAATAGCCTTTTGAGAACTTTTATCAAGCAACTCATCAGCATATTCCAATTTCCAAATAATTGGGTGGGCAATTAAAATAAAACATGATTTTGCATTTGCAGGAATTGCACCTTATCAAAATGCAGGTTAATCACAAACTTTTAACAACAACAAAAAAAGGGCATTCCTTAGGGTCTGATGTAAACAATATAGGGAAGCTGTATTTAATGCAAAGTTACAAACCAAAGAAACAAGTCCAAATTCAAACCAATCAATCAAATAAATCCATATTAATAAATTCAGACTCTAGCACTAATCCATATAATTAACAGAGTCAAAACAAAATTCCAAAACAAGAAGAATGAGAACAATTACGCATTGTGAAAAGTAAAAAATGTCAAAAAAAAAAAAGAAAAAACTTTTAACCGATTCCTGAACTTACAGATCGGAAAGAGACCGGACTGCCGCCTGCGAAGTGGACGCGGCAGGCCGTATGCAACCGGAGATGTGGACGACAACGACCTGAGAAGTGAACGCCGCTTGGCTGAAACACCACCTGCGGCTGGCGGCGGAGGAGCTACTGGCAGTAGCTTACCGCAGAGTACTCTGAGTATTTTAATTTATTTATTTTTTTCAAATAAACAGTACTTTGACATGGTATTTTTTTCTCTAACTTCTAAACCAACCTATTTGAATTTTGACTATAAAATTCAAAAAATTTAATTCCATTAGCATAAAAATCTTTTGAACATATTTTTGAAATATTATCCTATATATTTTTATTATTTTAGACTGTAATATACATTTGTATATTGATATTGATATACAAGGTTGGACCTGAGAGAGGTCGGGGCGGGCGACTGGTCCTAAATTTAGAAGACCCCAATAATTTTAAGCGTAGTGTTATGAGTAGGCTAAAAGTAATTTATTAAGTCTAAAAAATATTTTTTACTCATACATCATATTAGAAGATAGAAAACTATTGTACAAGATTACTACAAATGTTATCTTCACACATTTGAATGTGAAATTACCGACATAATTCTCAACTAGTGTCACTTAGCATAGTTTTTATTTTTTTATTTATATTTTTCTTTTATACAAAACATTTATTGTTATACTTATTGTATTCAATTCTAATAAAAAAGTGTATTAATTTTTAACTAGTAATTCTTGGTAAGACTCATTTTTTTCTTTGCTCGAAGCCTAATAAATCTTAACACGGGCATGTTGATATAACTGGTCAAAATATTTGAAAACAAAAAAAAGTGAAATGAAAACCATTCTCAATCCAAGTTATGAAGATGTTACACTGTGTTTGGTTCAAGAAATTTGGTAGGAAAAGTAAAGAAAATGATTTTCCCTCATTTTCCTCACCAAAATGGGAGGAATTTGGTTTTCCTTCCTCTTAGTACATTTTGCTTTCTCTTTTTCTTTTCCTTCCACTTTTCTTTTCTTTTCCTTTCTAACCAAACAAGAAAAGTATTTTCATTCTCATTTTCTTTTCTTTTCCCTCTCAAATTCCTTGAACCAAACATAGTGTTAAAGATCACAAAATTAAGATCATAAATTTTTACAGTAACTTGTATAACTCCTGTCGTTTCAACATAAAATAGATACTTTCTTTTAGAAATACTACGTAAACATAAGGTTCCACATAAAATTGTGACGCGTTAAAATAAGGTTGTAATTTGTTCTATAGAAATATTAAACAATTTACATTATTTTTCTCTTCTACATAGATTTAAATTATAATCTTAATTTCGTTCCAATAAACACAGTGTACTCCGTAATAAGTCAAGAGTGATAGGAGCTATAAGAGTCAATTGTTATTCCCCTTTAAAGACTCTATGAATGTTGATAATCTCCTTGGTTTCATCATCAATTCACTTAGTTTTGCCTAATAACACTGGGAAGTAATCTAGAATGGTGTAATGAACTAGTAAATACAAGTACATAAAAGTGAGTACATGGAACAAAACTTGAAAAAGAGCACAAAAGATTAGAGCAAAAGACTCTTCTTACACTTTAGGGAAGAAGAAGAAAGAAACTCATACCAAGCCTACTCTGAGAGAAAGGGTAAAAGTAATATCAGAAACAGCATTTTTACAAACACAAGAGATATGAGGGAGAATCTTCATCACTCTGCAACTGCAATATGAGAGTTGTTAGGGGGGGTATAAATAGATTCGAGATGACGAAGATGACGATGATGATGGCAGTCGGGTAGCCCTCTTCCTTGGCTTTTTTTGCATGCAATTACAACACTCTTTTATATCAATATAGCTTACCGCTCTTTAATGGACGCCAAACGCGACCAAATGTGTGCAAACAAAATGTCCAAACAAAGCCATCCGCCGTGGGTGGTTCGCCATGTATCTAGGGAACAAAAGAGAGACATATGCTATCATATTTGGGCAAGGACCAACCAATTGAAGCAACTTAAAAGTCTGTTTGGTAGATGTAAATATGCAATTCTTTGTGTGGCTGAATAATCAAAAAACGTACTCAAGTCGGGATATTATTGTCTACTTCTATAACTTTGACTTAAGAATTATGACACAAACAGGTCACTGCGCCTGTTCGTTAATTCATACTCCATGTAACTAAATTTTTAAAATAGTACTCAGTGTATGTGCTTGTTTTACCCTCAAGGGTATGTTGGGCAATTAGTGTAATTTTATTCTTTAAACATTGTAATTTGAGAACCAATTCCCAAAAATGAAAGATGGTCAATTAAATTTTGATGGGAATATTTAAAATTTACCTTTTCTATAATCAAGATAATGGAACTTAGAGGTTCCGCCAAAAAGAACAACCACTCATTAAGCAGTATTTTTTTCTGTGATAAACTATTTGTTGCAGTTAAAATATTGTGATTCTACTAAATACCAACTCATGTAACAAAACCTGCAAAAGAACACAATGAGGTGATGCTATATATTTTCCCCATCTAAATGTACCCTATAAAAAATTCAGTTGAGGTTATGTACCTTGATGGAATTGACTCATATAATTTTGTTCCTTATTTCTTCTAGCTTTTTCAAAATTTCTGCAGGAGTTCTGTCGAGCTCATCAGCAATTTTGCGCTGCAAGTCCAAAGGCAATGTTGGGAACTGTTCGCACAAGTCTCCATCAATGACATCCTGAGAGGAAAAGTCCATTCTTCATCATTAACAAACCATAATCCATAGAGTATGCTAACTGTATATTACTACACTACAATAGAAGCAAATTTTCATTAAATTTAAAGAAAGTTTCCCAAAAAAAGCATCTCAGATAAGTTTAGGATCAGCATGTTAAATTTAGTTGAACAAACTAACGATGTCAAAAAATGCTACTTAGATTGAAAATTGGTTGGCTTAACCAAGTTTAAAAGATTTACCTTGAAGAAACATGAATTTATTGTGACAGAGCTAAAACTTAAATTTAAATTTTAATAATCAGAATGCAAACATCAAAGTAAATCATTGACCCAAGTGAAAGCAACAGAGGACGTCCCAAATTAAGAAAGGTGAAAGTACAGTCTACCCCAGAGGCTTGTCTGGCCAAGATTCTACTCTTTTTTAAACAATCATTGAGAAAATCAAGTTCTTATCTTCACACTTCACTTTGAAGGAAGAGTTCCAAATTGGCAGCTGAAAAATAAAGCCCCAGTTTGGCTAGTGGATTTGAGGAAGAAGGAAGGGGATGGTTGATATTTATTTTACTGCTATATTCTTATATTTAAATGGTCACAGAAAAAGACATGATGATAATTTTTAACAATAATGCATGATTTAACTATTTAGATACATCCTCCGTGCAACTTCATTGTCCACTTTTCCTCTTTAGGACATCTGGAATTACTTGTCCCCCTTAGCATATTTAGTAAAGAAAATCACATTAGTTCACCAAATGTCAGTAAGAGGCAAATTCATCACTAGGTAATTTCATTCACCATCGCCTCAATTGGTCTCCTTGTTATATTAAGAGGAACTTTACTAAGTCGTTTTCAGTTCATTCATTTTTGTCATTTCAACATTATCCTTATATGAGAGATTTTGGTAAGTGGACAACTAAATTTGGATGGGGGGGAGTAGTTATTTTATTGTGTAAGACTAACAATTAGCTACATTAGTAAAACAAAATCAAGTCTCCACCTCCCCCAATCAGAGTAGAGTCCTCTCAAGCATAAAGCAAGCAACAAATATTTGACAAAATCAATACTCATTAAATCAATGATCAATGAGCAAGCACAAATCAATTATGTGATTGTTGTGCGATTACAAATAAATGTTGGTTAATGCTACGTATTATTTTACCTTGACTGGGAAATAGGCTGATCTGTAAGCCATGTGGTCCCTGCCACAGAGGGGTGGGTGCTCCTGCCTCAAATGCATCTCCAGATGGGAGAAGAAGTCAACTTCATCCCTAGAGGTAAATGGAAGCAATGCACCTACACTCCCCATAACAGTCCCATAGATGAGACATTCCTCACCCCCCGGGATAAGAGAAGCTCTTTGCAAGCAACTAACAACATCACCAACATGAAACTGCACAATCTCATCAACCTTGTTGGGAGCTCCATTCAGCTTACCCTGTTCCCATTTTATCTTCCCACCTGTTGGATCTTCTTCAATCTCATCCGACACATCCTGAGGCAAACGCACAAAATAGATGTTCCCAAACTTGTCTGCCCCTGCCATGGTGTCAAAGTCCACATGGCTTGCTGCAGTAAGCCATCTTGGAACAGTGTCATCGGCAAATATGTAAAGTTGGTTCTCATCACGACGGTATTTGCAATAATGGAATGACTGGAGAGAGAGAGAGAGAGAGAGAGAGATGCACAATGCATTAGAATGTACACAAGGAGAGCAAAAACAATGACAATGACAACAATAACAAGCCAGTAGAATCCCTCAAGCCCAAACCTCGTGGTTATCATGCGGAATAATTAAATATCGATATGAAATGGGCATTACAATATCAAATATCATTTAAGTCTCAACCCATCACGGTCTCATTATACCTCCCGTTCATGTTGGAAATAATCTATGTATGATGATGCCTGTTTTCAATTTTTTAAAGTCACTGTTCCTTGTTTAGAAAGTTCCAAGTCTTGCCTGCCATATGAAAGGTATATGGCAAAAAATATTGTCTGTAAGCAATTTTGGGTGATTATGTAGTGCAAACTAATTTTTTGCGATTAAAGAGGGTGATAAGTTTAATGCCACTTTCCCCCAACTAGTTAGTATTAAGACGCTGTGTTGATGATAATGATAATGATGAAGATGATAATTTCCAAAATTATTGATTTAAGCACTACCCTCATGTTTAGCTTACTTTATTTAAACTAGTCAATTATTTTAAAAATTATTTATAATGTTAAATGTCTAAACATAAAATTTAACGATGAACATCTTTTAAATATTTGCAATACCTCTTGCATATCACCAACGTAAATGCGGTCGCGGTAGGTAGTAATAGATATTATAGTGTTGGGGAACAGCTTGTTCTCACATTTCCTTAGGAGTCTTTTCTTCCCCAAATCGTACAGCCTAAGGACAGATCCAACCCCAGCCAATAGCCTTCCTTGGAACTGACAAAGAGCAAGGGGAACCTCTTCCACCTGTGTCTTGTGCAAAAGCTCGAGTACTTTTCCATCTTCCTTAAATTTGTAAATATGTATGTATGCAGCTTCGAAGGACCGTTTGGGCCAAAACTGCAGTCCCTTCGTTGTACCAACAGCCAGAAGAGCTCCATGCTCCTTATCATGGAAGTTTACAGTACATATACTGAATGCCGCTTCATTGTCCTGAAGTTCAAGAAGACAAGTGGTTTGAGCTGTCCTTGGGTCAAGGATTCTGATGCAGGAGACCCACTTGTCTGACTCAGCCTTTGGATAACCATATTGCTCGTCGGAGAGGGGGTCCTCACTATCGTCATCATCAGCACCTCCATTCTCCATTTTCTCTGAATTTCCATCCACTTCATTCCCGGAATCAGCAAAACATTCCTTTTTAACATTTTCACGTTCTTCTGCAGTAAGTGCTCCCTGATCACTCTCAATGATCACTGCTAGCTTCCGTTTAGGTTGGAGAATAAATTTCCTCGGGGTATACCTCAAAGGTATAGATGTTTCATTGAACGTTTCACCCAATCTCTCAATAGTGAACACCCTCAAGGCATCTCCAGCAACAGAAACCACACCTTCGGCACACTGATCAGACGAAAAGGATGCAGCATATTCAAGGGTTTCATATGATAACGGTGTTAAAAGAAAATGTCCTTGGTGAATATAACCAAGCCAGGGTCTACTAGACAAGCACAGCATAGCACGACGTCCTCTCACAACAATAGAAAATAGCTTAGGAGCCCTAAGACCTAAAAACCTTGACCGAGCATCTGAAAGCTGACCTGTCACCATATCCACAACAGTTCTAAACAAAACCCCATTCTGCAAACCAGCATTCAAAAAAAGATTGGCGGGGTGATCTGCACCATCCTCCCCACCAACAGAAGCCTGAACTTCTAGAAAGAGGAGAGAGTCTGGAGGAGAAGAAACACTTTGCAAACTCAATATCTGCATACAGTCATCTGGATCCAATGAAAGAATTCGTATTGTTTTGTCATATGATCCAACAGCAAGAAAACGTGACCTCTGTCTGCCTTCAGGAACAGGGGCAATGTCCAAACATGCCACATCACCCGACATCTCATGCTTCTCTACCTCCATAAGCTGACCAGTCATGTCAACTTCAAAATATATAAGCTCGCCCCCGCTCAGAGCGATTACCACCTGGAGTCTATTAGACCCAACCTTAACAATAGTTCTCTTACCTGGAGTTCTCCACTCATTAATGCGTCCATCTTCTCTAATATGCCTGATTCCACTTGGATGGACTTGCATCAGGGAGTCATCTCCTATAAGTGAGACAGAAAGTGATGGGGTTGTATCTAAAAACCCACTGTCACTAACTTCTTCAACAGTCTCACCAATAGAAAGCACAAGAGTGGCATTTGCAAATGAGACAACAATGTAAGAATCAAATTCGTCGCTTGCATTCTTTTTCACAGTCCAAACAGCACTTGGGATGCCAGGAAGCTGTGAAACAGCCATTTCGCTAACAGCCAACCCAGGTCTTAGTATCCTTAAAGACGATCGGGGACCCCTTCCACAGAGTGAAAATATCTGAGGAGTCTCTTCCTCGAAGAGATTTGAGATTTTCATGTCCATGAGTGGCATCAAGCTCTCCACTTGATCAATCCTAACAAGATTCTTCAGCTTCCTTGGCTTAAAAAATACAGGCTGGAAACCTTCTTCAGTCTCCATCAGTGTAGATGATGAAGCTTCAATATCTGGATCTTCTCCTATAGCCTGAAATTGATACAAAGCATGGTTCCCAAACTCTGATGCAGCGAAAAGGTAACCAGACTTCAAAACACATAATGAGGAGGTGACTGGAATTGTATCAAAGTACTTAATCTTTAACTCCTTGACCTTGTCATTGTCATGATCCAAAGTGACCTTAAAAATATCTCCATACTCTGTTTGCAGAAGAAAGAAAAACATGGACTTCTGCCTGTGCATGGCAGCTGAAACAATAAGAACACCTCTCTCTGCAGGCAAATCTTCACGCCTAGGAATCACAGCCCGAATATCAGGGTGACCTTGGTTCTTATATATGACAAAATTTTCTGCACACACAAGCACACCGCTTGGTCCATCCCCACCACCAGGAACAGTCACAAGAAGGTTAGCACCGTTATCAACCTGCTCTGACCATTTCCTAGAGACATGGTTAAGCCCTAAGTCCAACTCATAAAACGTCAAATGTTTCTGAGCTTCACTGGCAGCTTGGCCGGTTGGATCCTGGTCGGCCTCTGAATAATCCAACTCAACAGCGGCGAAAATAGGGTTATCAAATCCACAATCAACACCGCATATCGAATACGTTATGGTGTGACTC